TTTCTGAAGAAGGGTCTAGGCCCGAAATGTCAGCGTTCCTGCTCCTCTGATGCTGCTTGGCCTGCTGTGTTCATCCAGCTCTACATCTTGTATCTCAGATTCTCCAGCATCTGCAGTTCCTACTATCTCTGATACAGAGATATTGATAGGTTAAGTAACTAGGCAAAAAGTTGCCAAATGAACTATGTAAGGAAAATGTGAAGTTGCTCATTTAGAAGGGAAAAAAAAAGAACAATATTATTTAAATGGAGAGAAATTGCAGAAATCTGGACACAAAAAGGTTCTTGGGGGTATGTGTGCACGAAACACAGAAAGCTAGCACACAGGTGCAGCAGGTAACCAGGAAGGCTAATGGAATGTTGGCCGTTTTATCAAGGGGGTTGGAATATAAAAATAGGGATGACTAACTGCAACAGTACAAGTTGTTGGTGAGACAACATCTGAAGTTTGGTGGGCAGTTTTGGTCCCCTTATTTAGGGAAAGATATCATTTCATTGCACGTTGAGATTCTACTCATTAGAATTTGAAAGGATTCCTAAGGCTCTTGACAGGATAAATGTTGAGTGGATGTTTACCCTTATTGGAGAGTCTAGGACCAGAAAGCATAGTCTGAGAATATAGGGGCACCAATTTAAGACTGAGATGAGCAGGAATTTCTTCTCTCAGAAGGTTGAGAATCTTTGGAACAATTTGCCGCAGAGAGCTGTGGGAGCAGTCCTTGTGTATATTTAAGGTTGAGATAGATAAATTTTTGGTCAGTAGGGGCTTCAAGAGTTATGGGGAAAAGAAAGGAAATTGGATGCAAGGAACATTGGATCAGCAATGATCCTGTTCAATGGCGGAGCAGGATCGAGAGATCAAATGGCCTACTTCTACTCCTATTTCTTACGGTCTTAATACAATTATCAGCAAGACAAAAATTACTACTACTTTCAGGAAATGTAAGAGAAATGCAAGAGAACTGCTCAGTTTGATTTATTTATCTTTGCTCTTTGTGGGAAGCAGTATAATTACTGTTATTGTTCATAAATCACTGCAACGTATTGGCTCGTTTACGATCATCAACTTGAGATATGGGAAAGAGCTCTCTGCACTTTAAGGCAAATGTACCAGTTTCCATCAGACACTCTCTATTCCCAGACCTAATGCTAAACCATATTCAAACTTTATTGTTTTCCTTCATTACCTTTCCCACATATATGGCCCAAAGAGATTCTCTGCAGCACTTAGCCACCGTTCCACAGTGCCATTCAGTTTTGCAGTTGCAATTTTTAACAAACAAGGTTCAGCCCAAACTCTGCTTCTGTACAAATATATAAAAAGGAGAACAATTAGAAAATAAAGCCCAAGAACACATTTAACAAAGGCATTTTGAATAGGTAAATATCAGGAATGAGGAGCTTAGACCAATGTTCAAACATAAATTAAGGTATCACTGCAGAATGACATTAATTGAGATCTGAAACTTGAATGGTACAGAATATTTAGGAAGGACAAGAGGCTCAGGGAAAAGTGAAGGGATGGCTCTGTTGATTATTAATTGTCTTAAACAACAGGGAGAAATTACTTAAGTTCAAGAAACCAAGGTATGGAAAGAGTCAGGTAGAAATCAGAAATGATAAAGGGAAGAGGTCACCGATGGGAGTGGTGCACAGGGCACCTAATAGTAATCACACTGCTGGGTGGAGCATAAAGGAACTTGTCGGAAAAGCATGGCGACAAGCATGCAAGATTTTAACCTAAATATCAACTAGAAATGTCAGACGGGCAAAAGGTAGCCCGGATGAGGAGTTCATAGCGTGTTTTCAGGATAATTCCTTATGTTTTGGACCCGACTGGAGAGCAGGCTTTGGTAGAGCTGGTATCATGCAACACAATAAGATTAACTCATAACATCAAAATGAAGGAGCCTTTTGATAGTAGCAATCATGATACATAATTAAATTTTACGTTCAGTTTGAGGGAGAGAGTTCAGCTCGAGATTACTTGATAAAAATTAAATGAAGGTATTTATGAGGACATGAAAGCACAGCTGGCTAAAGTGCAAATTAGGTTAAAAGATAGGTCAAATAGTGATGCAATGAAAGACATTTAAAGTGGATATTTTAGGATACACATAATGGATACATTCCGAAGAATAACAAAAATTCCAAGGAACAGACCCACCATCAGTGGTTACCATGAAATATCCACTTTAAAAGACAGTAGCAAACTCAGCAGAAAAACATAATAGTACAAAGACTGCTGCTAGATCAGAAGATTGGACAGAATATAAAAAGAAAAAAAACCACCAAAAAAATTAACAGTAAAAAAGTTAAAGTATGAGATATCCAAAGAGATAACTAAAGAGTTTTAAAGACTATCTTAAAAAATAAAAGAGTTAACAAAGTGAATATTGGTCCTTTAGAAAGAGAGACCAGAAAATTAATTATGGAAAATAAGGATATGGCAGATGAATTAGAGACATTTTCCTTCAGTCTTCACTATAATGAATACAAGTAACATTCCAGAAGCATTGATAAATTAAGAAATGGAAGGGGAGAGAAAAATCAGGAAAATCACAATGAACAGAAAAGTGGTGTTGAATTAATTGTTGGATTAACTCAACAACGTGGACCTTCACAAGTGCCTGCATCCAGAGGGACTTCAGCCCATGAGCTTAAAAGAACTGACCACTGAAATAGTTGAGGTATTGGTTTTTATTTTCCAAAACTTCCTTCATTCAGGGATGGTTGCATTGTGTTGGAAGATAGCAAATGTAACTCCTTTATTTAAAGAGAGAGGAAGACAGGAAGCAGGAAACTGTAAGCCAATTAGCTTAATATCTACTGTCGGAAAATGTTAGAAAATGTTATTTATAACAGTGCATTTAGAAACTTTCAAAGTAATCCGGTGGAGTCCACATGGTTTTTGTGAAAGTGAAATCATACTTGACCAATCAAATAGAGTTCTTTGAAAAATTCGCGTGCTATACATAAACAAGAATAAATGAATGTGCTGTACTCAGATTTAGATTTCCAGAATGATAAAGACCCATTTCAAAGATAATTGCAAAAATTAAAGCTTGTGGTGTAAGGAATAATGTACTGGCATTGCTAGAAGATTGTCTGGTTAACAGGAAGCAGATAGCAGACATAAATAAATCTTTATCAAGGTGTAATGACTGGTGTGCTATCAGAATTGGTTTTATGACCTCAACTGTTTATAATTTAGATGCATAACATAGATGAAGGGACAGTAGGTATGGTTGTCAAATTTGCTCACGACACAAGGATGGCTAGGAAAATAATTTGTAAAAAGGATATAAGGAGCCTATAAAGGGACATAAAATAGTTATTGGGCAAAGTAAGCAAGCAAAGGTGTGGCAAACAGAGTAAAATATAGCAAAATTGTGAGACTTTGCAGGTGAATCTGAATACCTTTGCACATGAATCTCAGAAGGTCAGCAAACAGGCTCAGCAAGTAATCAGGAAAGCTAATACAGTATAATTATTTATCACAAGGGGAACTTAATATGTAAGCAGGGAGATTATGCCTCAGTTATACAGGGCTCTAGTAAGACTGCATCTAAGTACAGACAGCTTATTTAAGGTAAAATGTAAGTTCATTGGTAGCAGTTCAGAGAAGGTGTACCAGATTAATACCAGGAATGAATGGGTTTTCTTGTAAGGAAAGTGTGGGCAGGCTAGGCTTATCCTTTGGAGTTTGAAAGAGTAAGAGATGACTTGATTAACACATAGGAGATCCTCAGGGGTCTTAACAGGGTACATGTGGAGAGGATGTTTCTGCTTATGGAAGAGTCTAGAACTAGGAGTCACTGTTTAAAAATTAGGAGTCTCTCATTTAAAACAAAGATTAGATCAATTTTTTTCCTCTGAGAGTTTTGATTTTTTGGACCTCTTCCTGAAAAGGAGATTGGGTGCAGCATTCTTGAATATTTTTGAAGGCAGTAAGAAGTGGATTCTTGTTAAGCAAAAGGGTGAAAGGTTATCAAGGATAGGCAGGCATGCAGATTTGAGTTTACAATCAGATCAGACATGAATTTATCAAATGGTTGGGCAGGCTTAAGAGGCTGTTCCTTGCTGGATGTTCCAACATACATTTTAAATCTAACATTAGCAAATTTAAGGCTGCATAAACTAACTACTTTTTATTTGAAGATTTCAATTTATGGTGGTGCAGTTCTGTCTGAACAGCTCAGTGGGAAGTATGTTTTCTTTGGACTGAAATTTGTACAGCCAAGCCCCATTCTTGTAGTTGTGCACAGAACCTAGACTGACACATCATTGCAAACCAAGGGAATTTATGTAGATGTGTTGTGCATTTGTTTAGTGCACAGTCTGGTCTTCTAACAGGTTTACCTTATGCTACTCATGAGATGCAAGCACTTTTGTACACATCTCAGGGAATCTGTTGGCACCCTGCACACAAACTGAGATTTTTTTTATTATCAGGGAAGCTCTAGCTATCAGATTTTGAACCTCATCCTAAGAAACTGCAATAGTAAGTGGTCAGATGAGTGTCAAATTCAGTTATACCAGGTGCTTGCAATCGAAGGTTATGGAAAAACGGGAATTGGTGGTCAGTGAGGCTCCAGTTTGGGCTCAGGACAGGCCACAGAGGTTGCAGTTAGGGGTCAGAGTTTGTTCATGCATGCTGCTGAAAAATTAGCACATGGTTCAATTTAAACTGGATTACGTAACCAGAAGAATGATGCTGATCTGTCCATGCCAAGAACTATGCATCAATAAGGAACTCTTCCAAAAAAAACGATGCAAATTTATTGATCAGCACTAACCCCTTTAACTACCACTGGTTCATAGACCAGAGTATTTTCTTTGATTGCTTTTCTACAATAGTCCTTCTTTATGGGAGATTTTATCAGTTTGTTATTTCCATCCCTCAGGAAAATAAAAACAAGGAAAATTGCTAGCATAAAGCAACACATTGTGATTGGTAGTGTTGTCTCAATGACAGGTTTCAGGTTTTGGATTTTTGGTCAGGAATAGAAATAGATAACGGGATTAGGTTTAGATAGATGGCATGATAATTAGGAATAGAATATTAAATCAATTTTATTGTCACAGGAATGCTTACCGTGGACCTATATCAGCAGAAATCAGATCCCCAGCTACAAGCGCCAACAGGTAAGCAGGAACCGGATACTCCATTTGAAATCGGTATATATTCTCTTGCTCATCAAATGTGCTCCGCGTTGCACTCATCAGCACTCTAATACCAGGTGGAACCTAAGAAACAAAACAGAATAAACGAAAAAAAAATGCTGGTTTCAGCTGCTACAGTTTTTATGAAATTAAGGAGTCTAGAAAAGCAATTTAATAACATGCAGGTCAGCAATAATAAACACCCAGAAAACATAGCCAAATTAGTCTCTCTTTGACCAATGTTCTAAATTAGTGCAATATGCCAAGAATAGAGCATACATTGAACAGCCTTCCTGCTCCTCTGATGCTGCTTGGCCTGCTGCGTTCATCCAGCTCCACACCTTGTTATCTCAGATTCTCCAGCATCTGCAGTTCCTACTATCTCTCATACATTGAACAGTGTTGGTCACCTGAACATGCATAATAAAGGGCCACACTAACCAAACAAGAACAAATTTATTTAGGCATTGTGAAGCAAAGAAATATTTGACATAGCAAATGAAAGGTCATTACATTCAGGCGAATGGTCCAATCACGGCTTAAAGTGCAAGAATCAAGGAAGTTGACACATGCATACTCGGTGTGGAACATGAGATTCTATGGCAACAGATTTGAAATATTTTTGAGATCTTGGTATGTATGCCAATACTGTTCTCCCTGCTGACTCCAAACATGATGTTAACCCATAACAAATTTCACATTTTCAGCTGTGCACTCTTCAGTTTTTATGTGCAAACATTCAATGGCCACAGGTAGTACTTGAAAAGGGCCTCATTTAAATCAACTACATAACATTTTAGGCCAATTGTATTTTCTACTTTTTGAAAGTCAGCAAGTGGCTCAGACTGTATTATAAACATGACTATTTTCAGTTGCTGGACTTTGCAGTCTCAACCCCTAACAATTACACTCGGCATACCGAGTTACGGATAAAACATACCAGAATTCTGTGAGTGAAAGGAAGATGATTCCTTTGACAGTCATCAAGGTACATATACAATTTCAGAAATGGTGGGACAGTTTCTTAACTCCCTGCCTGGATGTAAAATGGGTAAATAAAAACAAAAATGCTGAAAACCATTCAGTTCAGAAGAAGTAAGCTTGGACTCGAAATCATAACTTTGTTGACCTCTCCACAGATGCTGCCAGACTAACTGAACGTTTCCAGAATTTTCTGTTTTCATTTCAGACTTGTAGCATCCACAGTATTTATTTTGAGTGCAAAACTGGGATTATGGTTCAATTGCCCATTATATGTCACCTGAACTTCATTGATGCCTATCCCATTATTTGAGGGATTAATTTGGGCCAGTGTTTTGTGGGCCACTACGCTCAAGTGCCAGCTACAAGGTGAAATTTTAGAATATATATTATCCACTTCTTTGTACAAAACTGTATATGGTCTTTGAAAACTTAAAATAAACATTTTATAAAATAACGTAACTGCAGTTTTAATTTGTGCAATAAACCACAAAGCACAGTCAAACTGAACTGTTAAAACATTTATTCATTAATTTGTGCTCTGTCCACAGGTGGCTCCTTGCTTCATTGTCTTTTGGTGTATCATGCTGAGCCATTTTCTAGCTCAGTGGTATTTTCTTGACAGTGGTGTTCTGCAATTACTTTTCTTTGTCAGAGGCAAAAGAGGAGGCAAGTCCCAAGTTTGCCTCAGCTAGAACAGGAATTGAACCTGCACTGTTGCTACTGAACTATTGTGAACCATATACTAGCCATCTAGCCAATGGAGCTAACCAGTTCCTAAATAAAAACATTCCAAAGTAAAACTGCACAGATTGCTGGTTCAGTGGGAGAGAAAAATTAGACTTGGTTGCTAAGATGAAATTTAAATAATCTGAGCTTGACTTGTACAAAATCTTGAAAGCAAACAGGGAAACCATACAGCCTTATAACCTCCTTATAGATTCCACTGCATTTGTGATTATTGGCATAATTTTCACCTTAGCTTTCTTTAAGTCAGCACATTTGTTGGAGTTGTAGCTTTAAGGAAAATTGATAAGCGTATTATAGCATTGCTCCATGCACTATATGAGCATGTTGGTCACTTATTATACCTTTTTAACCAGTGTGGGCTGAACTAAATATACTGAAGTATTATCAGAAAGTACTCAACTCACATGGTGAAGCATTTCCAAAGAAGCATTAAGCCTGTCAGGTTTTTAGAAGACAGCAATCCGACTGACCTTGTCTTTGGCCCAGAGCAAAGTAAAAATATTAGATACTGTGCACTTTCTAATAACTCTTCATCTTAATGATCAGATTTTTAAAAAAAATCAATACTAGAATTAGGCCCAGCCAGTTCTTGTGCAGCTTCCAAGTGTAGAATTGCATCTCCCATCAATTTTGTACTTAAAGCATTTTCTTCTTTTATTTCAACAAAAAAATACATTTAATTACTAAGGCTTTCAAAAAATTAAGCATGTGCCAAAAATATCCCAAAACACTTGGAGGCACTGAGGAGAATTTTAATTGAACTCACCAGTTAGTAACTAATTGGTTCAAGTGACATCCTGGATTTACATTGCATCAGCTGGACTTTCCACTGAATTCAATGGAAAATAATGTTACACAGGGAATAAAACTGGTATTCCATCTGACCTCTCTTTTTCAAGATGCAATATAAATTCAAATGACCTAATTAGTTATATAGGCAAGGATTATGAATTTGTGCTGAGTGTAGAAATTGATAATCTCAATTTTTTTAATTTTTAAAGTGCAGAACCACAGTTCATTCAAGCCTAGATGTTGCACAAACAACCTGATACCACAACAGCAATTGGTAAGAGTGAGACCACTGAAAGCTAGAGCTGCGTGTCATTACTGTGTATGTGGAACCTGACTGTATATCTACAGAGAAAGCTGCCAATATATGACATCTATTTTGCTTTATACAAATTAATAAGGAACAATGACATAAGGTGCAAGTACTCTTGGTGCAAGCAGTCTGCAAAGAAAATACATATTAATAGTTAAGAACAAAAACAGGAGTTGCTGGAAAAGCTCAGCATGTCTGGCAGCATCTGTGAAGAAAAAATCAGAGTTAACATTTCGGGTCCAGTGACCCTTCCTCAGAACAGTAGTTGTTAATAGTTAATTATTGCTGAAAGAAGACACATTTGGTTAAAGCTTTTGCCTTGTACTAAATCAGGACAATTTGCAAGAAGTGCTAAAGCAAAAGGAAACAATGCATGCTGAGGGGAAGGACAGTGTTGATAAGTGGGCATGGAGACTCTAATTGGTTGAGGTGTTGCCGTGAAGAATGCACCCATTAGTAATGACACACAGTGAACTGCCAAGCACTGCTTGAATTCTTGAAAGCTTGTGTTTTCAAATAAACCTTTATGGATCATAACCTGGTGTCGTGTGATTTCTGACTTTGTCCATTCCAGTTAAACACCGGCTCCTCCACATCATGAATTCTAAAATAGGCAACTTTGAATGTGTTGTTTTTCTCAGCATTACCCAAGCTATATATTTGCACATTCAAGTTATTTCAGACAACATATAAACTGCAAGAGGGACTTACTATGTCACATCTGCAGACTGAAAAAGATCTGTTCTGGTAAACAGATTTGCTCTCCATCCATAGATAGTAAGAACTGCCGCTGCTGGAGAATCTGAGATAACAAGTTGTAGAGGTTGATGAACTCAGCAGGCCAAGCAGCATCAGAGCAGCAGAAAAGCTGTCATTTCGGGTCTGGACCCTTCTTCAGACCGGAAACGTCAGCTTTCCAGCTGCTCTGATGCTGCTTGGCCTGCTGTGTTCATCCAGCTCTACACCTTGATATCTCTGCTCTCCATCCATGATTGGCAGATGTATTTCAGCTTGTTATAATCTCAGTAGAGACTTAAAAGATATTTAAACTTCCAGTTATTCGCTGAAAGGATGATTTGACAAGATTTCACATTTTCAGACAAACGACTATAACAAAAGACTAAAAGCACTTTTGACTAAACATCATCTTTGCAGGCAATTTATATGTTAATCCACAGAACAAATTGAACAGGATATCACACCCTTCTTAATTTTAGCATACACTTCACGGGTATACACGACATGTACTTTAAACAGACATTCAATTCTCCCGAAATCATGTGATTCTTAGCTTCAGAGGGTTTACTTCTCTCTCTTTAAAATTTCTTAATCTGGCAATTTCCAATTCAGAACTGGACTTCATAGTCACAGTATCAACGAAGAACTTTTGTCAACAACAAGTTAGGTGAATCATCCAGCTTAGTTTTAACTCTTTTCAAATTTGGTCTTTTGAATCTGAGCAGGAGTCATCACCAACATTTCAGTATATTGAGCCCAAGAGAATTTTGGCTTCTACACAATCTGGATGCCCTGGACCTAGCTGACTTACTGCTCATTAATTTTAAAGAATATCTTAAAAAATGAATCATGGAAAAATGAATCATATGGGACTTATATCCAGGTAAAAATGCTGGTTAGCTATTCTACAGAACCAACTTTCTTTTTGCTTGGTACTCATAGTCTCTCCAATGTTGGCACACAGTGGCTGTCATTGTCTCCAAGTGTAAACATCTTGCCCCTTCTTTCCAGTAAAACAGTCTGGGTCCCCTTTAAATTCTAATATTCAAACCATGTAGGTCTGCTGTCAGGGAGACTGCAGAGACCTTCATTTTACCTAAAATGAAGACACAGTTCCAGAAAATGACAAGCTTATACACCTCATAATTGTAAAAGCTATTGTTTTACACATTCTGTTCTTAGTTTTACAAAATACTTCTAATTTGTATCAAAGTTAAACACAAAATAAATGACAGATTAGAAACAGTTACAGTATTTGGAATCAGGATCTTCACTGTCAATTGGGCTGAAGAGCTGCAAATGTAAACTGAGAAAATACTCATTTCATAGCTAACAGAATATATATATATATATAAAAACTCCAAGTGTTAAAAACCTAAAACAAAAGCAGAATATTACTAAAAATAAGATGTTTGCAAGGATATTTGCATATGTGGAGAGAACAGGCAGGTTAACTTTCATTTGTAACCCTTTGCTGGAACGAGATAAAAATTTAAGATGAACATTTAACAAG